AAAAAAAATGTAGAACAGTTAAGTAGAACACATAGTAAATGATATTATTGAAAAGCGTTATATTCAAGACCTACGAAAACTATTCTATACAATTTGGAAATTGTAAGATTAATAAAAATTAGTAAGTACCAAAAATAAACTACAATGAACAGATGTTAAATATAGCATTAATTAGGCACACTTGAAAATTATATGAATATACATATCAATATTAATTAGGTAAAATTAATTATCAATTTTCTAGTATTTAACTGATGTTTATAATGAATTAGTTTATACCTATCGATAAATATAAGTTAAATGTTCAATAATAAAACTTTTTTTAGATCTTTAGATTCACAAAAATAAACATAATTAATAATTATTATTAGCATGCAATACTAAACTACATACTAATACAATACGGACAACCACGAACATTTTATCCAAAGTTGTTTGAAGTCATTTTAACTCTTGAACTATTTATAATAAATATTTTAGTATTGTTTTTAATAACTCATAGGAAGGATAAATAATTATATTATATTATATATTAATCCATATGAATAAAAAAATAAAAAGAACACCTATGTCTAATTTTTCATTAATATTATTTTTATATTTTTTAAAATAACTCCCAACAGTTATAATTAGTAGTTCCAGTTTATAATAGTGTTCATTAAATACGAAAAACATAATTACAATTAAAATTAATTATTTTATTTGAAGAATTTTTTTTCAATTAATATTATAAATCACGTTTCAAAATTCTAATTTTGTAAAATATTTAAAAAAAATACAACTATTTTGATTATTCATACTTAAAATTATTACGTTGTGTACTCTTAATTTAAGTAGTTTTAATAATAACAACAAATTGATAAAAAGGAAAGTGAACTACAATGTATAAATTAATGTTTCTAAGATTTCACTTTCCTTAAGATTTATACAGGAACTAGTCGAATTGAAGTAAACACCTTCTCGCGACCTATAGGTATCTACATGATAAAGAACTCACGATATTGAAACCAGTAAAACTTGTATCTGATACTACAAAATGGTAATATTACGTATTGTGCGTGATTACCGTTGTGGTTTTGTTGTTACAACTAAGATATTTTCAGTTCCTCAACTTTTTTTTAATCATTTGTTTTATCAAAACGGCTGTTATAAATTATCACAATAATATCATATTTTTCAATTCTATAAATTTAATTAATAGGTATATATGTGATTAATTTAAGGTTTTTGATGAATAACTATTTCAAATGACATCATGCTTAAATGCTTTTTGTTGATATCAAAGTATTAATTATTTAATGTTTATCTGCACATTTTTATTTTTAATATTTTTATTGTTTAAGCAGTACATTTTTAAATGATAAATACTATTGTAACTTTAATTTTAATAACGTATAAAAACAAAAATAATAATACAACAATTGATGAAAGAATTACAATTTATTTTTGTAGTGAGTATATTCTTGTATTATTTTATCAAAAGTTAAATTCATAAATATAAATTATACTAATTTATAAATATTTTATTATTTTTATTTGATTTAGAAGAATTAATAGTGTTTAGAATGTTTCAAATATTAAAAAGTATTAAAATGTAAAAATGTTTTTATTGTTTTTGTTTTAGTAATATTTCTTAAGAATAGAATAATTATTCTTTTATTGTTATTTAGCATTAGGCGATGGTTCTTCAACATCCACAAAGCTATTTAATCAGAAACTAACTACAGTTATTTGTATATAAAATATATTCATATAAGCTAAAACCAAAAATATCAGTACTCATATATTCTTAATATTATAAATGTTAAAACATTTAAATATTATAATAATAATAATTTTATAATGATATAATGTAATATTTCAAACATCAGAAAAAAATAAAAGTAAAACGTATGTGGAATATTTTTCTTACTGTTTCGTTCGTTGTAAAAACTCTAAGGGCATTGTAAAGATAATATAGTAAGCCTGATGAGTTGTTTCTAACCACGGTCAATGTTTCCCACATGCCCGGTTACTGACTCCGAGAAATCGATATTCCGTTCGTGAACACAAAATGGTTGTGGAGAAGTAATTCATTATAGAACAATATTGTAAACCCCGAACGCAATCGTATTTCTTTATAATTAATCATATCAGCTGTACGTCGAGTAATTTGATTTCAGATCTTAAGGATATTCTTTTTTTTACGATGATTAATATTATAATAGATAATTTGTAAGAAAATTAAAATTATTACGAACAATAATTAAATCTCGTCTATATTTGAGACTTAAAAAAAAATTTCAGATTACTTACTGAATGCTTTTGATTGGTGAATAGCTTTTTTTTAGTTCACAGTTTTTTTTTTTTTTTTTTACGAACGTTTTTCACGGTGCAGCATACCTGCCGCTAACGAAACTGGGTGACACGCCGCGGTGGCAATACAATACGCACTGAAACGTTTTCTTGCTCACTACCGTGCAGTCTCCTGCGACAACAACTTTCCACCTCTTATTTGATCGTTTCAAACAGTACGTTCGTTAGATACCTAGTTATCATATTCTGCGCTTTCCATTTATTTCACCGCTAACGATATTTTGCAAAAACTACAGTACGTTCATTTATTTTTTTTAGAAAATAAAAACGGTGCAACGTAACTAAAAAGCGTGCACAATACGTGAATGCGGATGTTGATAATACAATGAAAAATTATCATTTGGAAGGAGTAAATGTGTATGTTTATAAATCCGTACAGTCCCAGATAATTAAATAATTATGAGATTACAAATGTCATGATATTAGATTTCGATCACGAAATTATTCACAGTCAACATTATACAGTGAAAGTAGATATTAAAAATTGCTGCTTATAGATTGCTTAACCTGAAATTAATGGAAAATTAATAGGCTTTGTTACACCTCGAATCTCAATATTTACGTTAATAATAATTCCTAATTTTTTTTAACCGATATTTTCAACATCACTATATCTTTACTATCTCGGTATACCATCTTGATTGTCAAGACGCATTTATTCGTTTTTATAGCGTATACAATAGTTTTTATGAATAATAAACCTACTATGATAATATTATGTAAGAAAATTAATATTTCTATCAAAACACATTCTGCTTACATTAGTTTAGTTGAATCATGATAAGATTAGTTTAAGGATTATCTTATAATTTTATATTAATTATTCGTGAGGATTTGTTTATGTTCGAATTATAATCAGTGTATATAAATAATTTAGGAACATTATGACTAATACATCATAACAATTAAGTGCCATGCGCATACTTTCAGCTAAGAATAAATAATCCCTTTATACCTATAATATAAATAGATAAATATGAATTCACCAATCACGTAATTGCAATTTCAGTAAGAAGTGTATTGGACCTATAGTATTCTGATATCAAAATATTTTAAAACGAAAACCTAAGAAAAATGTAAATTTGAAACTTGTTAATGATTGTTTATTTTTTTTTATTTTTTTGTGATTTATGTAATTTTAAAACATTGATTGAAACATTGATTAAAACGTTGATTTGATTACAGTTCTTTATAATTGAGAGAAAAATATATACAGTAGGATCTCGATAATCCGAACACAGGCTAATCCGAAAGACGCGGTAATCCGAACGAGCTCGAACAGTACTGAATCGCTATAAATATTATATTAACTGGCTGAACTTACACACACATATATAAATTTTAATAATAAGTTTTTATATACATTGTTATTCATTGTGAACTACGAGTTTTTACATGATTTAGATTGCAGATAAAAATAAATTTCATAATTAAATTCGAATGAAATCGATATTTTTGTTAAGCCATACATAATCCGAACGACCTCTTTCCCCGATCTCGTTCGGACTGTCGAAACCCTACTGTATGTACTTAATATCAAATATTAACATACAAAATTATAAGACTTATGACTTATGTGAGAGATATAGACTCCTGAGACTTTTAGAATCTCGAATAGGTATTCACTAGTCAACAGCACTTTGTTTTCAATTATAACAATATTTACATTTTGCCATCACTAGATTTAATATCAGAAATATATTATTAGCATTTATGTTTCTCATCACATTAGTAAAATACATTTACTCAATAATTATACACACATTAAAATCCTACATATAATAGAAGAACATCAATATTTTGTTGATCTAAAGACATATAATATTTATTACGGATAAAATATAAGAAATTAGTAATACCATACCTATTAAGTAAGTATTAAGTACAAAAATTGGCAACATTATCAGTCTAAAGTATTATGAGAATAATAAAAACCAGGATAAAGATAAATTGACAAATTATACAAATACTGATAAATGATCATATATCGATATCTGTTAAAATAAATTTTAGTACATAATAATTAATTCGCTTACAAACGATATTTGGAACGATTATATTAAAATAGTACCTATACTCCAAAAAAGTGCATTATAAAATATGTGCAGTTAAAAAACATTTCTTATTATTCATTCATCTTTCATTTTTATACATTCTCAATTAAATCCTTGACTATTACCTATTTTATAGTAGTACGTGTAACATTAGTAACATATTTAATCGTAATTAATAAATATTTATTTTACGAAATATCATACGTTATTATATATTGATATTAAACAACTTCAGGTAATGTTTGATAGTGTTGAAGTAGTATTATTACCTTCTCCTTCGTCACTTGTTAGATATTCTTCAACTCGATCATCCTGGGAATTAAATAAAAACAAAATAAATATTTATTATTATTTATTTATTTATTAATTTATTTTTTTTTTATAACATAAGTATCAATGTTTAATAAATACAATTTATTTTGATTTTAATAAAATAATTTTATTTGTTTTTATTGAAAATTAAAATACAAGAACACACTCGTTTGGTTTTTTAGCTTAGCTTGTCATTCGACTGAAATGCTGGATTTCCATAATGAAAACATTTAATAGTTACATATTATACTTCAAAATTTGATTGGAAATATATTCTACATCTGTTTACATTAAATACGAGTACAACTTAATTTTCAATGGATATTATTGAAACGACCAGATTCGTAATTAACAATACTAAATTACATTAAAAAATATATTAACCCCTCATACAAAAATCCATTTACATGTTGTTATAATTTACTTTAATTTTAGAAATCAAAAAAATTATAGAAATAAATATACTATTGAATGTGTTAAGAGCGTAAAGTTCAAACATTTTTGAGGAAACTTAAAAAAAATGTAGTATCTCTCCAGTCATCTCAAAAATTAATTCAGTTCCACAGACAACATTGATAATCATTAGAACTAACATAATATTTATAATTGGTATTGTATTTAATTAAAAACTATAATATTATGTAATATATATAAATTATAATTTTACTGAAGTTTTTAGAATGAACATTGTACAATTATTTTACTCACAGGTATTAATGATAAAGTGACTTTGCTTGAAATGACTGCTTCGTGATCCTCGGTTTCTGAAGGAGTATTGTGTGGACCATCGCTTATTAAAACTTGAGAATTCTTTGGAATCATACCAGGAATAATCAAAGAAACGGGTTCCTCAATAAGTACCGATTTTAATTTAGACGATATTTTTTCTTTTTCAGTTGGAGTCCAACAATGACCACCACCAACACTTTCTGATATTTCCATATTCACTACTTGAATTATTTTTTTACTGGAAATTTCAGAATTTGTAGTTTCATTAGATTCAGAAGATAATAAAATGTTTTCCGATTCTTTTAATTCAGTTGACATTTTGTTACTGACGTCATCATCTATATCATTATCATTGGATACTGTACTTGCCGAATATTCAGTTGACATTTTTATATTGGCGCCATCTTCTATTTCATTATCATTGAATACGTTATTTTCCAAATATTTCACTTCGTTCATTTTATCATTTTTAGATTCCTGAAATAAATAAAATCAACTTAAAATAATTTGCATGTTTTTATTATATGTAATAAAGCAATTAAAATTACTATTACTCAAAAGTAAAAAAAGTAATTTAAGTGCACGTGCTTCCACAATCCACTACATAAAAAAACAGTCATGGCAAATTTATATTAATTGAATAGTTAGAAGTAAAAAAAAAATGAAATACTTATATTTATAATAAATATTATTTTAAAAATGCTGGGTAAAAGATATGTTTAAATTTTAAAAGAAAGGTTTAAGCATAAATACATAAATATTAGAATAACTTAAGCTCTTTATCCTAAGGGTACCTCGTTTTTGTTAATTGTAAGAACATTTTCATTTTCCCTTATAGACGATAATATCTCTCGATTCACGTCTTCCAATAGAGATGAAAACGCATTCACGACTATGTGTAAAAAAAAAATTAAAAACCAACTATTTTATTTATTTATTAAAAATATTCAATCAATTAGCTCCTGTTTTACAGCCATATTTACCATACCTTATTTAATTATTTAGTTATCAGAAATATTTTGAAATTTATCAATTAAATAATCTATATAGTTCATTTTTAAATTAAATATATGTTTAATTTACTATTAATACATTTCAACTTTTATGTTTAGTTTTTACCTATATATGAACCATATTAGTCAAAATAATTTTAACTATTTTAGAATTTATTATTATCAAGGAAATATCACATAACGAGATCAACCCTTAATTTATACGTTAATAGGTGAAATTGGTGCAGTGCTGAAAAAAATTTGCCAATAATATTATACAGAGCACAAGCGCATCGAATTGTTGGTAAATCTTTCAAACCTTATTCCCATCTATTCCATTGCACTCAGACGCCAATATCATTTGCTTAACAATGCGTTCCATCGCAGCCTCTGTTTCTTCCAGCTTACGACGGAGCGCATCTATTTCTAAATCCCCTACGCAAAACATAAATTACAACCAAGGTTTCATAATTTGTATGTAATAGGTTGTAATATCCAGCATACTTGAATACAATTTTATATAAAAAAAAATCAGTTATTACTAAATTAATGATTAATGATGAATTACACACAAAATTGTGTATATTTTTGCATTATAATTTTACAAATTATAAAAACTGATTAATACGTGAAAAATTATATTTAATTAATTTTTTTTTTAAATAATTCGACTTACTTGTATCTTTTTCAGTGTATCCTGTGTATCATTAAACAGAAAAAATATTAACTTATTTTTAAAAACAAGAAAATGTATAAGATAAATTGTATATGTATAAATATTTAATATCTTTTAATATTTCACCTAATTTTATAGGAAGACTCTGTGGCTGCAGTTTTGAATTATTGTCTCTATCACAAGGATAACGTGAAGGATATTTATAATTTGTATTATCTTCGATGTCGTCTTTTTTTGACAGCAACTATAAAAATGTTTTAAACTATAATAATTCAAAGTTTAAAACTTATATACCGGGTTGTACAATAGATAAACTCTAATTGTTTTAATTGAACCCCACTTTAAAATATTTAGCCAAATTTTGAACATTTAGCAGCAATTCATGATTGATATATTTTAATTTTAATTAAATGTTAGATTGAACAAATAATTGAACAGCTCGGTAATAATATCTACACTAATAATTATCATATAAATTAAATAATATTTTTTTTACCTTCATCATAGTGTACACGAAAAAAAGAAGTATTCCAATAGTATACATTGGCATTAGTATATTCATCGCACCACCACCATCTCCTCCAGCAATTTTATGGCTAGCACCACCCATACCTCCCATTGGCGGTCTAGAACCTGGAATTGGTGGCTAAAAAAATCAAATGAGGATTTTTTTAATCAAAAAATATCAAATTGAAACTAATTTAAGAAAACTGAAGTATAATGAAGATAATAGGTACTTTTTATAAAAAAAAAAATGTATTTATAAATATATATATTTTTTTTTATATAGGAGTAATAATAGATGTACAAATAATAAATATGAAACTTTAACATTACAATATAAAATTTAAATAAATAATTTATTTTTAAATTTCTAGAATAACTATGATAATAAATATGTTAAAAATTATTGTAATTCAAATCTATTAATTCTAAAGTACTGATTCGTGTTAACTTGCAGTCAGTATCAAAATCAAACATATAATGTGAAGTATACCAATAAATTATAAATTGTATTCTAAAATCTGATAGTATAAGATAAAAAAATACAATGATAAATAATAATAAAATTTATCAAAGGAGAACAGTAAAACGTATAAAACGGTAGTATGGCATAAATCCAGAACTCATATACCACAAATAACGAAAATATTGGCAAGTTCTATATTAAATTTAAAAGTAAAAATAATCTTAGATATTCAAGTTTATTTACAATATATTATAGTAGCATTTACTTTAAAAGTGTGAGGATTCGGACTGCCAGTTTTAGGTCCAATATGGGGTTGGGGAATTGCCCGACCTTTTTCCATTAATGCTGGATGCATTGAACTTTTAGAGGCTCTTAAGTGAACAGGAGTTCGTTCTTGAGGAATTTGATCTGAAATATAGAAAAATCGTGAATAAAATATTCAATTAAAACATTTTATTCTTTTTAATTGTTAATTAAATAATATATATTATTTAATTTTTTTTTTTTTTGTTCTTGTTAATTCACTTCAAATAAAACATAAAACAGTACTAAAAGTATATTTATGACTATGAATATATTTAAAAATCAATAATAATATTTGTTATTATTCAAATACAAATACATAAAAATACTTAATAAATAAATATAAAAATACCATATTAGTAAACACGTAGAAATATAATAGGTACTGAACTGATTTAACAAATAATTACAATTTTTATTAAGTTAGTATTAATTATAATATTCAAAGTTATACATTCCATGTACTTGTTACATTATTTATAGTAAGTAATACATCAAACAAAGTAAATCGGTAAATAAATTAGAAATTAATGACACGGTTGAAATTAACTATGCAATAATATTTATATTTTGTTAATCCAAAAAAATAATTAACCAATTTTAATTTAAATGTATAATATGTATTTTATAAATATTACCCGAGTACAAAAAAATAAAGAATTACGTAAAATATATTAAATAGGTTTTAAAAATAAACCTAATCATAAATCAATTAAAAAAGTAAAATTATTCATAAAATATATGATTCATGCATTGTACTCGTAAAATATTATACATAAGATGTATAATAAAATAAAAACAATTAAATTACTATAATTTATTGAGTATTTAAGAGTATGAAATGTGTATTGTGTCTATTGTACAAATTTTTAAGAATATTAAAATGTAAATACAAATTTTTTTCACTATGCCTATATTTAATTTAAAATCATAATTTTTAAACCAATATATTTTGCCTGGTGAATTAACTAAAACATAATATTTATTAATTAATCGTTTTCATTTCAACTATGATTATATATCATTATTGCGTTTTATTTACTAGTAAAATATTAAAATAAGCAAAAAACATTTGTTAAAGATACTCTAAGTTTATGTTAAATCTTTAATAATCTAATTATTTCTTACTCAATAAAGGATCATAATCTTTAAGTCTATGTGCAACCCCCAAGCTTGTCAAAGATACTCCGTAATGATATTTTAGACACAGAGATCCATTAATAGATCTAATCTCGTTGATTACACGTTTATTATATGAAATATCGCCAACCTTATTCTCATTGATTAAATCAGTTATGTTGATTGCACAAGTGTTGAAAATTTCCTGTTGGCATTTTTCCAACTTAGTTTTTTTATCCATTTTTTCAACTATACGATCGCATATATCCGTTACTATCTTAACAATATTCACGTCCGTACTGGACAATAGATTGCAACAGCCTATTTTCCAAACTCCAGTGATGTAAATAACATATTAAAACTACAAAAATATATAAAAAAAAATGTATTTACCTGTATGAGAGTGAGGCGTAAATGAACCTTTTAGCATTGGGTAGAATAAGGATGGCCATAGAACTGCGAAACATCCTACTACTATTGCCAAAATGCATATAGTTTTACTTTGACTTATTTCTGTTGCCATGGCTAATTTTTTTTTTTTTAATTATCCTGAAAAATATATTTATTAATAAAAATAAAATTATTATTTTTATATTATAAATTATAATTGAAATCACAGATAATTATAGTCATCGAAATTAAATAATAATGGTATTAACTAATAATTTCTTTTAAAACGAAATTTTAATGTTTTGAAAAGTATACCTACGATAGAACATGGTATACGGAATATGCCCAATATTTTTATTTAAAAAACGTTTGATATTTATTTAACTTATCATAATTACCATAATTATAAATTTTGAAGTTGAAAAATCTTATTTTATACTAGAGCTCTTAAAACACGTGTCACGGAATTCACGTGTACACGTGAAATACGTGTTTATTCAAGTATAAATCCATTTTTATAATGATGAAAATTAGTAATTTTATGTTATACGCTTGAAGTTTTAATAAAATATTATTAGTACAGTATTAAGTTAAGGATATACGTTTTTATTTTGAATTTTACACGTGACACGTGAATTCCGTGAATTCACATGTATTAAGAGCTCTATTTTATACCCTAAATACCTTTAATATGAGAATGTTTAACAAAGTACAAAATCTGTAATATGAGTAATAGGAGAAAATAATAATTTATGTGTATTATATCAGCAAATTGTTTGTATTGACAATAATTTATATTTTATATTAATAATCCTATAATAGTTGTTATTATAATTTGTTGGTTTTTTTTTCTTTGATAGTTATAAAATAAAGATTTTAAAAAAGATTATAGAGAAGAGAAAAAGAAATGAAACGTAGAAGTGAGTTTAATTTTATACCAGGAAAATTGACAATGGAGCCATTATTTTATGTTAGACAACTAGTAGAGAAGTTAAGAGAAAAAATGGAAAAATTATGCATGGTGTTCATAGATTTAGAAAATGCGTATGACAAAGTGTCAAGAGAAGTTCTAAAAGTTCTAACATTAATGAAAAAAGAGGTACCAAAAACATATAGTTCCTAAGATCCCCTAAGACTTTTCTACTGCCATTACAAAACGAAAACAAGAATTATTGGACAAACAGTTAGAACAATTAAATAAATTAATAGAAGCTGCGCCTAATGTTAAAGGAGAACAAAAACAAATGTTAATGGCAACTATTAATCAACTGAAAACTAACATTGAAAGTATTCAAGCAGATCTGGCATCTGCTGTAAAAAGACCTCTTAATTCTCAGGCTAACTTGAAAGTTGTAAAAAGTCTACCTCCAAAAACTCCCACAAAAGAGGATAAACTATTAGAAGCTAAACAAGAAGCGTTAAAGAATTTACTATTAACTAACTTGGATTTATTTATTAAACAACAACAAGGACAAAGTGATGAAAAAGAACTATTAGATTTGAAAAAAAATGTCATGATTTTGAGAAATAAATTGAAAGCTCTTGGAATCACACCTGCAACTGGGACGGCCAAAACTGCCTATCAAATGAAAGAAAAACTAGCTATTGCTAACAAATTGCTCGAAGCTAAAAAACAAAGTACGGGAAACTAAAACTACCAGCATTTCAGTTGATCATCGGCCAACTCAATTATTAGTGTCTGGATATGAAGCAGATGATGAAGATCAAGTTGTAACACACTTTTTACAATTTGGTAACATTATTGAGTATATATCAGATACAATAATTCCAGCATTAGTTATTAAATATGAAGTAAGAAAAGATGCTGAAACTGCCAAGATCAAGGGTAAACTATTTCAGGATAGAAGATTATCAGTAACATGGTACAATTCACAACATGATTATGTTGATACTTCTAATGTAAAAGCTGGACCTTGCATGGGCGCCCGATTAGAAGAAATTTCCACTACAAAAAAATGTTGATGACTAAGAATTAAGATAAATTGTTGATAGCTTTTTTGTTGAAATTGTGTATTTTTATGCATTTGATCTATATACCTAAATTATGTATATAATAAATACAATATAAATGACAAAAACCAATTACTTTAATCCAAACTGTTATCCCAACTGTATCTAGATTAATAAGTGAATAATTATTGATGTTTATTTACTTGATGGTTAAATGTGCATTTAATTTCCGTTTAATTTTAGCAGTATAAAGTCCTAAACTAAACTAAAAAACTAAAAATATCTTGAATTTAATTATGATTTTATAATTTTAGAAATATAAAATTTGAAGAATGAAAATATGTCTTAATACATATTTAAAAATATCTACAAATGATCAATGATTTCATGCCCACGTAATCAATAGATTTATTGTAATAGTTACGTAACCATAGAGCGCGGGAAAAATTCTTAAATCATTCTGTCAAAATAAATTATGAAATTTAATTTTCAGGTGAGATTGCTGAGAATTATTATTTTCCAAATAATTGTAAATTTTCTTGAGAACACAATGGAAAATGAACAATAAATCTAAGATTATATAATTTATATTATATTGTAAGTGAAACAATACCAGTTACGGTAATTAACTTTTTACAACAAAATAAACTTATAACTAATATTACTATATAGGTATTATAATCATGTATAATATGTGTACCAATAAAGTTCCCATGTATTTACATTAATTATAATTACAATACATGTCTTAGGATTATTTCTCTCGCAAAATAGTTTTTTTCATAATAATGAGCATCATTTCATAAGGAAAAAAGTGATTTCCAAAGTTAACAACAATTCATTAAATTTAGTGATTATTCGAGCCTATATGATTATTAATAATTGTTTGCTTTGGGGATCTAATTTAATCATAATACACTATAGAAATCCCTCCCCTACTCTCACCACAATCTAGTTTATTTATGAAGATAATGGATGTATTCCAGTAGTGGCGTCAGGTTTTTTTATTAGGTAGGGCTAATAGGCACCAACAATTATTAAGTAAGGTCACAAAAAAAGAGATATTAGCAAATGAAAATAATTAATATATTTTACAATTTTAAATTATTTCAACAATATGAAAAAAACTACTTTCAAATAAATCCGCTTATGAAAAATAATAATATTTTAATTTCTACAGTCAGGTCAGTGGTAGAGTCACTGATGGTGTCAGACATTTTCGCCTATCCTGATGTATATTTATTATTAAACTGAATTATTGTAACTAAATTAATTTATATTTTACAGTTAATAAATTAATTATTTTAATAAGAATAATAAAAAAAAAAAACAATATTTTGGTAAATTTAAAAGATATTTTTATAGTAATAGCCATTATTGTGCCGTGAAGGAAAGATAATGTGGCAATGGGATTTGTTTGTGATCTGTGTATACATTTTACTGCGACTCCAAACTAAATTTTTAAACCAGTATCCCAAAAAAAATACAATGAGTATAGAATCATCCATATAAGGTAAGTAATGACCCGTGCTTATAGTTTTATGGTAAATAAGCGAAAAAACAATTGAAATAATTAGTGAGGTTTAATCTGTAAGTGCTTAAGAATAAAACTACCGGATAATTAATCTGTCGCTACCAGTGGCGGATTTAGGGACAGTGCTTGGGAGCTGAAGCACCCTCCGTCCCGCGTACTTTTATTAAACATTTTTAAAAAATTGACAAGTGTGAAATTTTAGGTACGAGTTACCAGAACACGCACGCAATGGCGGCTGCAGTCGTGCACGTGCCGTGGCGTAGCACACTGGTCGGCGACCATGCATAATCTTGAGGTCCACTGGTTTTCCGTGATTTTGCCGGCCGCGGTTGTCATGCACAAATCTATATTATCCTAGAGATAATATACCGAATTCACTGATGTCTATTACTACGTTTACATGATAAGAGTTAAGCCGTTCTTAAATTAAACCGATTTTATTCTAAGTCAATTTAAATTGCCTGAGTTGTATACATGTGAATAATATTAAAGTTCATCCCTTTCATTATTCCATGAAATTGGTATTTCTTCCAGATCCATTATTATTTTTAATACTTATTAATTATCAATAATCAAATATTTAAATATTAAAAATTGTAATTTATTTCTTAAATTTTCAATATTTTTTTGTTTATTATTTAAAAACTTATTTAATATGGATTCTATACAAGCAATTGTTTGTTTAAACCTATATAAACTTAAATACGAGGCACGTCGCAGTAAATGTAAACTCTTATTACTACGCCATCGTTTCCCATCTAGCAGTTTCATAGTATTATTTTATTTTATAGAAGCAACTAATGTAGCTGTTTCTGCAGAACTCCAACTACATCTTTTGATTGAGTTGTACATTTCTAATACGATTATAAGTTTCTAATACATTCGTAGAATAGTTACGACTAATAAGTTTACCTAATTAAAATATTCATAAAAATAAAATCTGAACAATGTGTTATGTTATCACTTATCAAAATAAAATCGATTCCGTTTACATGTATAAAAATACAGCCGATTTTAATTATTAAACCGATTTATTTTGGTTAAGCTACATATTCGAGCGTCCTTAAAATAAAAAGGTTTATGTTATCAAGTTCGCTTTAAAGTGTTTACATATTTCATGATTTAAACCGCTTTTAATTGTGCATGTAAACGTAGTATATATTTTACTAGATACCGAACTCATGAAGTTTACCATTGGCAAGAGTGAATCCCGACTGCGCACGCTTATCATTTGTCCATTATGTTTTCGGTAGTCAAAATAATACATGATCACATATTAATAATTTTATAATACTGAACACTTTATACATATTATCAAAGGTGGGCTTTTAGTTAAAACTAGTTAAACTAGTTGAAAAGTTAATTTTTTTCCTTTTTAACTTAACTAGCTTTTTTATTTTCTAATACATTTTTTAACTTAACTAGTTTAATTGACATTTGATATAACTAAGCTTTTCACAGTTGATTTAAAAATGATCTATTAAGGAAAACAATTTTGAGATTTTTCGTTTATACGTAAACATTAATATGAAAATTAAATAATTATATAAAGTAAAATGGTCGCATACACTGTACATCAGATATCATTAGATTTTGTAGGTTGGGGGTCCACCTTTGAGTATTGGATTCTGGACGTGGAAATGATATGTATAAA